AGCGAGGACTGTGATGTCCTCTGGCACGGAAGAGGGCAGGAGGAGCAGGAGCTGGAGCCACGGCAGGGCGTGCAGGGACAAGGACACGCAAGGGGAGCGGAAGGGGTGAGGAGCCTTCCAGGCCCACGGCGCTGCCATGGCCGGCCAGGTGTCCGACCCTACAGGCCACCGTCCGAGGGCAGCATAGGGTGGGCCCGAGGCTGGAGCTCAGGGTCTATGCAAACACGACAGGGAAGGAGCTGTGTGGATGAGCCTCATGCTGCTCTCCTCGGCACCCCAGCTTTGCCCATCAGCCCCCGAGATGTGGATCCTCTGCTAAAGCAGGAATGGACAGTGTCCCCTCCCCTGCAGTGCCATCAGAAGGCCGGTCCTGAGGTGTCCTCCCCGTGAGCCTCACAGTTTTCCTCCATGGTCTCCTGTGATCCCACGGCACTGTCCAGCCCTCTGTGTCTCCTCAGTGACAGGCAAGTGCTGAGCCCAGGGGGTCTGGTACCGCCCAGCTCTGGGGTGAGCTCAGTAGCACTGGGCACCCTCCGTGTCCTCATCCACGGATTCAGGCGCCCTGGTGGGAATGAATGGTGTGACGGTATCTCATCTGCACGCATACAGACTTGTCCCTGGCATTGCTCCCCTCACAGCACCCCACAGCTACTGTGCACACAGCACTCACAAGCGACTCACCCAGAAATGCCGTCAGGAACTCGGAGGATGTGTGTGGTTCTACACCAATGGGACGCTTGGGGAGTCTTGGGTTTTATCTGGGGGTTCTGGAACCAGCGCCCACACACCAGGCCTTGAGCCCCTCTACTGTGACTGTGCTCTTCCTGACGGGCGCAGGGGTTCTCTGGTGGCTCGGGGTCATCTGTGCCCCCTAGGGCTGCTGGAGGAACCAGAGCTTGCCGCTGCCACAGGACAATTTCAGGACCAGCGCTCCACAGTGGGTGCCCCCTGAGAACTCGGGGAGGCCCACACCAAACAGAAGGTTAAGCCAGCATCTAGGAAGGACCGGAAGCAGCTGCCAACGGGGTGTGGCTTGTTCCCTGCTGTGTGGACCCTGACCCAAGGGGTCCCCTCCTCCCCAAAGCACTTGTCACTCTCGTCAGGGTGGAAATAAATTCAATGGCAGAGGAAGTGACAGAGAAGAAGAAACTGGGAGACACTTTGTCACAGGGACCAGAGGTGGAGGGGAGAAGGAGAAGAGGGGCTGAGGACAATGAGACCAACTCCCCAGGACGACCACGACGCTGCGCACTGCAAACATGGGGTAATAAGGCTCAAAATTAAAAAGGAGGCTAAGCCAAGCCTGTGGAGAGCGCAGTGACTTGACCAGGTGCCTGCTAGAAGGACGATCTGCGTGGGGCAGAGGCGGGATGTGAGAATCCAGGTCCCCAGCCCGAGCACCTCGCCAGCGCCAGCCTTCCTTTCCGGCCAGCGTACATTTCCTGTTCCGAGAGGAGCGCGTGGTTCTGATGCCCCCTGATCTTGTGAAGGTGCCGCCTATCAGCTATGGGGGGCTCTGACACACCCCTTCTCCCTCGGTGTAACAGCCTTGCCCCAGCAGAAAACCTGCCCCCACCAACAGAAGGCCCCGCTTGGTATTTCTGAAGCACCACAAAAGCAGTAATTAAGAAAACACAGGAAGCTGCCAAGGTGTGTAACTGTGCTCTCCTGCCCTCCACTCCCCCTCACTTCCGGAACAACAAGCAGGGACGAAAGGAAGGGGTCACCGGGGCTCAGCAGGGGCTGCTCAGGGAGAGGTGTGGCTCTCCGAGTGCCCATCACCATGGTGAGGTTTGCTGCCGCCCCAGAAGATAAAAGCCCGGCTCCTGCAGCGTCTAAGAGCAAGGTCCTGGAGCACCCACCGTGGACACGCGCCGTGGATGCCAGAGCCCAGCCAGGCTGCCCCTTCCCAGCAGGGTCCCAGCTGCCCCCTTCAGGAAACTTCCGCCAGCTGGCAGGCAATTAACGGGGCTAATGTCACTGGCATCCAGCCCCAACACTGAGTTCCTGCACGTGTTAGGTGCCCAGAGCTGCACCTTCTCGGGCTGTTCCTATGTAGACAGGGACTCAGGGCCGACTCTGTGCTGGGAGCCACCTGGCCACCCGGAGTCCTGGATGGGCTCTTCAACCTTCAGATCTGTGACGTTGGGTCAAGGACTGCCGTGCACAGCTACAGGGCGGCCATGGATGTGCCTCAGGGACAGTGGCTGCAGGGCACATGGGAGGTCCCTGGTCTCCTTGCGGGGCAGGGCTTCCACGATGGAGTCACCGCGCAGTGCAGGCAGCAGTCTCCTCCTCAGTGCCAGCTGGCGAGGCTGGGGGACGCGTGCACACTGGGTCTACAGGGTCCCCTTCTCACGTGCTGTGTTTTCTAGCTAACAGAACTTGCAAGTCTCACACTTGTTATTTATAAAGCTCGCAGGATCCAGGGCCACAGGAGAAAACCAGAGGCTGCGAAGGCTCAAAGCTCTCCGGGGAAGAGTCGCACACAATCCCTGCTCGCTTTAAACCACCTCTGGATACCCGCACGATCTCGCTGGTTGTATGTGCTATGTAAATGGCTGTTACTCTCTATTGTGCAGGGAATAATACTTCGTACAAAATAGTACGAAGTTTCTAGTCTGTGATTCACAGTCGGGTGAACCTGTGGACCCAGAACCTACAGCCAGGGAGGGCTGACTGTAGCTCGGTTTTCTCTGTGGAAAATATTTCTAAATGTGATTAAGACGTGGCTAGAATAACCAATGAGCGCGGCTCCTCAGAGGTGGGTCATTTGAGAGACAGATGCGGCAAGGAAGCAGGAGAGGTGAGCCACTGAGCCTGGGTCTCCGATGGACAAACCGGCCTCCGAGCAGCTGCCCGGGCCCCAGGACTGTCCACACCAACTCACAACCCAGGGCCAGCACTGAGACAGACGTCCTTGGCGTGACTGCTGCAAGGACATTGCTTGGTCACCAGACCACGCCCCGGGCTGGGGCACAAGAAACAGCTTGAGGTCCGAGGCTGTGGAACTGTGAAGAGGGACAGATCTTCCCGGGGAGGTCACCAGAGGCCTGACCAGCCCCGGGTGGGGACCAGGATAAGCGACTGTTTTCAGGACTGCAGCAGATGCTGGCTCTCTTTGGTACGGGTGGGGAGGTGTTCACAGACACCCACACCCACTCCACACAGCTCCAGCCACCTCCGGGTCTCTCCTGACGCCACGACACCATGCGAATGCTATGTAAAGCCACTGTTGTCCTCGCAGGTTAGGGGACAAGGACAGAGGCTAACGGGTGTGCCCACTCTGTGGCCCACTGAGTCTGCAGAGGACCCTGGAGGGCCAAGTGCCCAGGTAGACCCCTGGAGCCCCGGTTTGACAGTGGTGCCTGGTTCTGCCACTGACCACAGTGAGTGCGGGAACCACCGATCTCTCCGGGCCTCACTCCTCCGTACGGTGGGCAGTACTGTACACCATGGTTCACTGTGAGCCTCACTACAGGGCTAAAAGCCTTCCAGCATGGCAAAGCCCCACCCCACGTGCACCCCAGTACTATCTCATGGTCCCCAAGACTTCCTGAGCCCTCACAGCCTGTGGGCTGCGGTCTCTGCAGGTGCAGGGGGCCCCTGAGCTCACCCTGAGCGCGCATGGCCCTCTGCTCATGTCTCCGTGACACTCACGGGTAAACCAAGGTCCAGCAGTTAACGAGCTTGGCCAGGGGCACCACCAGTGAACCAGCACAGGCAATCGGCCCTAGAGGTGCCTGACCTTCCGGCCGAGGACTTCATGATGGCCCAGAGACAGGAGAAACACCGGCATACACCGGTTTCTCAGGAGCCACCCCTCTTCCCGCCCCCAGAAATCCCGGGCTTGGACTGAGGAGGAGAGCTGGAGCAGCCAGGAATCCGGGGGAGCGAGGGGAGCTGGACGGAGGCTGAGTCCAGGAGGCCTCCTCCCTGGCGCCTCTGCTATGAGCCCCCCCAAGGTCCTAACCTATAAAGTGACACCAACCTCCAGAAGCTGCAGGGGGGACAGGGGAAGACCCGCTTCGACCCCCCCTGAAAGCAGGAGCTGCTCACTCAGTGGCTGCTCCCTGGGCCTCCCTGACCTGCTGCTGTCATTCTAGGGACAAGGTGAGGCCTCGCAGCAGTGTGAGCTGCCCAGACAGGCACTCAGAAGTGAGAGCCCAGTGGCCAGAGCTCAGGCTGAGGGGCCTGAGCAGCATGACTTCAAATGCATTTCTGATGCAGTTTCTATGGTAGGGTATTCTGCCTACCCGTGCCTCGGTTTTCCTGTCTTTGAAATGGGCATACCAAAGCCTCCTTTGCAGGGGCCTGCATTTATTAGTCCTTGTGCCTTTGTGACCCAGGGCCCGCCTGTGGGGCTGCTCAGCAGAACCCTGCAGTCAGACCCTGGGGCCAGCTGTGATCCACACTCCCTCCCCAGATTGCTTCCTGCCTGAGGCTAGGAGGGGAGGGACCCCGAACACGCCTGGGCACACACGACACGTGGGCGCACCCCCACTGTCACCTGGTTCTGGCTCCCCTGAGGGGCTGTGGTTTCCACTGTTTCTCTATGCGAAAGAGGCCCCGAGCGGCCGGGTCACCCCAGCAGTCGCCGGGACCGGGCGGAGGCGCAGGGTCCTGCACACTGCGCAGGGGGGCAGCAAGGCGCCTGCGGCTGGAGACCAGGGAAACCGGGGAGGCACCGCACCCGCGGGAGAGCCGCGGAGGAGCAGCCACGCGGCCACCCGCTGCGCCTGCGTGGGCGGCGCCGTCACGGGGACCCAGCCGCCCGCCCCTCCCGCGCTGCCGCGGACACTTGGGGGCGGCGACCAGGAGAGGCCACAGCTCAGGGAGGGCGGGCGCCCGGGCCGCGGTGGGGGCTGCCGGGGCGGGGCGCTCCTCCCCTCCCCCACCCCTGCCCCTCCCCTCCCCCTCCCCCTCCCAGTCCCCTCCCCCTTCCCCGCCCTGACTCCCTTGCACCCCTGCCCGCTGTCCCCCCCGCCGCCGTCCCCTACCTGAGCTGGCGCGGCTCGCAGTCCACGCCGGGCAGCAGCAGCCGGGCCGCCTGGCGGACGTCGTCGCTGTCCATAGAGAAGCTGCGGCGGTGGCCGGCGTGCGCCACGGCGACCCGTATCCACTCCATCAGCGGCGGCAGCACGAGGAACGGCCTGGGGGACGAGGGGGTGGGGGTGAGGGGGGCGCCCCGCGGGGACCCCGCCCCCACCTCGCCCCTCCCTGTTCCCTCCCCTCCCGTCCCCTGCCCCTGCCTCGGGACGGGGACCCCGCAGGCCGGCGACAGCCTCCCCAGGCAGCCTGACCCCGCGGGTGACCCGGGGGCGGACTCCACGCCATCTGGGGGCCTCGGTCTCCTCATCCGTGCACCGAGGACACCCAGCGACTGTCCCTCCTGGCGACCGTGCAGCCGGGAGACAATGCGTCACTTGGAGCACTGGGGCGCAGAGAGATGCCGGTTCCGCTCCGCGCCCAATCCCAAGTGCCCCGGTGTCCCTCCCACCTGGCCTGGGGCACCTGGCCAAGCCCACAGCAACCTCTCCAAGCCCAGTGACAGCAGCCAGCCAGGCTCGGGGACCTGGTTCCCTGACCTCGGGTTCCCTGGGGTCGCAGCTCTGGAGCAACCATCACTGCAGTCTGAGTCCAGCTGGCTAAGTGCAGAGGCTCTGACTTCCAGCCAGGGGAAGCTGCCGGGCCTCAGGGCTAAGGACTGGGCCTGGGGTGTGTGTGTGTGTGTGTGTGTGTGTGTGTGTGTGCTCCCTCAGTCCACTCCCGGCTCTGGGCAGGAAAGCCCACCAGCCTTACAGAAGCCCAGGTGAGTTTAAGGTACCTCCGGATTCCCTGGGGCTTGTTACAGCGCACAGCCTCCCACCCCCAGTTCCTAAAACCTCTTCCAAAGTCACTGGCAAGGGACAGGTTGGAGGCCTTAAGACGAAGTTCTGGGCCATTCCAGCAATGCAGATGACACAGCATCCAAGGCCACAGTTTTAATAAACAGACCCTATCCATGCCTCAAGTTCGGGGGCTGGGGACCACAAGCTTAGAAACGGTGCGCTCCCTTCCACCTTGTGAGCAGACACAGCCTGTACCCTGTCTCCGTCAAGCCTGTTCCGAATCTCAGCCTGTGCTGGTCCGCCTCGGAGCTGAGTGTGTGTGTACCCATTTTACAGAAAGGGGGAGCTATGCTTGTTGAGGGCAAGGAGCACGGCTGAAGGACGGAGCGAGGAGAGCTGGTGTCTGACCAGGCTGTGGGCTTCACGGGCTGGTCCAGTTTCCCAGCACACACCTGTACCCCAGTGAGCTATCTGGACGTGTGGCACAGGCCTCCAGCCCTTTAAAAACCCCGAGGCTCCCCAAGTGCTTCTCCCAACACCTCTGCCCCGCCTTCCCCAGGAGATCCACCTCCCTTGGCCCGGGTGCCCGTCAGCACCCAAACCCAGGAGTTCGTGACCAGGGGTGCTGGCCTTGGTACTCCTGCCCCGGCCCCGGGACAGCGGCCAGCAGGGTGCGTGCTGGGAAGGTACTTGCTCACCAGATAGACTAAGTCAGCGGTTCTTCCCCGGTGACACCAGTGCCACCAGGTTTCCGGGCTTGTGGGCCTGCGGGGAGGGCACCGGTGGCCTCCCTGGACCCTGGCGCCATCACCTACTCTGATCAGGTGCTCAATCAACACACACTGCCTGGAAATTGAGCTGGATTGTACTGCGTCTGGTGAAGCAGGGCTTATTTTTGTCACTGTGTCCCTGTCATCCTTGGAAACTACCCCAAGTGGCCAGGACTCCCCCATTGTCCTCAGAGGCCCCTTCTCTTTCCCAGTCCAAGGGCTCCAAGCACAGCTTCAGGCCCAGTGTCTGGCCCGGGTCCGGGGGCAGCGGGGATGCCCAGTAAATGTCCAAGAGCTGGCCAAGACCTCGTGGGACCTCCAGAGGACTCAGCAATGAGGCCCCAAAGCCAGGAGTCCAGCTTCCCGGGATTGTCTCTGTGCCTGTTCTCTCTTTTCAAGTCTCCTTCTTGTCATTGCTTTGACCAGTTTGCTAGTCACTCACTAAGAAGTCTTATCTGCCTGTTCATAGCATCATGTGTGGTGTTTTCTTTGGAAGAGTTGGAGATGGAAAAGAATTCCAGGACCCGAGTCAAGGAAAGGCTGTAGAATGCTCAGGAAAAACACAGATCAGGTTTCCCTTATGTATACTCGAAGAGAACATCGTTTTCCTAGTGTGTACTGCGTTCTGAAGTTGTTAGCATGAGTTACAACCCAGAAGCAGCCCAGCAGCTGGCGGGTTAGCCAGGTTTGCAAAGGCCCCGACCTCACACCGGGTTCTGGCTGGGCAGGACTTGGGGTGGGGCCTGGACTTCTGCATCCTGGGAATTCTGGGGCAAGCCCGGTTTGTCAGCTCTGATCAAGTGGCTGGGATGAACAGAGCAGGGAGGTGGTCAGCTCAAACAGGACAGCCACCACTTAAATCCCCGGCATCAGGAGAGGTGCTGGGAGGGGACAGAGGGTCTGGTTGGGCTTCAGCGGGGTCTGTCCAGAAGTCAGCTCAGAAAGGCTGCAGCACCCAGATTTTAGTGGGAGCCAGAGAGTGTGTGGGTTCCTGAGAGGCGCGGTGGACGCACAGGCAGCATCCACAGCTGACGTCTCTTCAGGTAGGTGCCGTGGATCTGTCAGCAGCTTGCTGTCGGTCTCTGGCTCTGGCCCTGAGTGTTGGGCCTTGGTATCCTCTGTGATCTGTTTCAGAGGCTCCAAGCCATTTCCGTAAATGGAAGCCAGCAGGTCATTAGACTTCCTGGCAAGACAGTCCCTGCTGCAGTTGTGAGCTCTGCCATGGAGAAGGTAGCCACCGTCCACACCTGAATGAACGAGTGGGGCCTGGTGCCAGTAAAGCTTTATTGACAGAGCTGCAGGTTGGTGACAGTTGGCCACATTCTTTGTTTGCTTCTTATGGAATCGCATATGCTTGGACTGTACTGGACAGGCCAGTTGCCTCGGGGTTGGGAAAGGCAGTTCAAGGAAGGCAGGGATAGAAATTTTAGGGGAAAAAAAGGAATTTTTGGGAGATCAGAAGATATGATCCTCTCACAAAAGATGTTAGGATGCCCTCTGAAATTCATGTGAAAACTCTCCGAAGCACCAGGGCGTGGCTGGGAAAGGTTCTGCTGTCATGAGGGGATCAGAGCTTGGGGCAGCGCTGTGCTGCCCTCCTGCCTTTCCCGAGGACACCGCTGTGCCCCTCTGCAGGATGCAGCCCACGGCGCCACCTGGGAAGCAGAGAGCCACACTCCCTGGACGCTGGCCCTGCGGGGTGCTGGCCCTGGAGTTTGGCCTCAGGCCTCGTCCAGGGTGTTTCATCATAGCAGCGAAAGGATGGGACCCAGAGTGGCACTGGACAGTGCTTTTCAGTGGCCTTGTCTATTTGCTGACTGGAACAGTGGGGAGCATAACTGGGTTCAGAGGACATGGCTGGCTGAGAAAGGCCCCCAGAGATGTCACAGCCCAGTCCCTGGGACCTGCTCCTGGGGGCGCAAAACTTACTTTGCACGCGTGACCTATGCAAGAATTTGAAGAGATGACCCCGCACTATACTGGGGTCCAGAATCCCACCACAGGCTGCTGGAGGGAGCAGGAAGGCCTGGGAGGAAGGAGGATGTGTGACCACGGGAGCTGGAAGGGCGTCAAGAAGGTGGCAGGGCCCAGGCCTCAGGGCCTTTGGAGCTGGACAGGCAGGAAACGGATCCTCCCTGGCGCCTCCTGAAGGAACCAGCCCCGAGACCCCGGACTTGGGCCCAGGAGTCTTAGAGCTCTGGCATCCAGAACTGTAAGGTTGCTGCTGTGTTTGTGGGGATGTTTGACGGCAGCCGCAGGGAAGGAGCAGCATGGATGTAAGGATGGACTGTGTCCCTCGCCTGGGCCCAGTGCTCAGGGGCGGGCAGCTGTCGTTCCTGTCGTCACCCATTTTGCCCCTGCCGTCTCTCTGCTGGATGCCACAGACAATGCCCCTGCCTTCTTCCAGGCCAAGGCAAGCCTCCGTGGCCGCTGCAGCCTCTGCTTCGTAACCCACGCGCCCTGCGTCGGCCGGAGTCGCGCCTCTCAGGCTGGGAGGAGGAACGCGGCTGACTGTGGTTCAGGGCGCTCTCCGTTCCGGGGATGTGGAGGAGGGAAAAGCCGCTGAACGACAGCAGACAATATCCGGTGCTGGTTTCTATAGCAATACTCATGGTACCGCCGCATCTGTGGGCATCAGCGCTGGAGCATGGCAGGGTAGGAGGTGGGCGTGCTGGTTGCCATGGCGATGGTCCTACTGGGTGAGGTATGTCCTCCAGGTTGGGGGGGGGCTTCTGCAGGAGAGGAGGAAGGGGCCACTCTGGACCGGTGCCTCTTCAAGATAAATGCCCGGAAGTCTCCAACCCAGGGGTTCAGGAGCAAGGCCTCCCTAACGGGAGGTGGGGAAGCTGCCTGTCTGCAGCTGGCTTGGGAGCATCCAGGGCTGGGCCCTGGCTGCGTGTCACCGGGGAGGGCTCTGGGAAGGAGACCATGTCCCGTGCATGCTCAGCCATGCTCCACCTCGGCGTCCCCCCGGCCTGCGTCCAGTACCTGCATTCTGGACGGGCTGGTGTCCTCTGTGTACGGACTCATTTAGAGGTGATGTTGTCTTACCTCCCTGGGCACCTCCCGCCCCCCAGCACCTGCTGCTGGGGTGTGGAGGCTGCCACAGAATCGGGCATGTGACAGAGGAAGTGTGTACTTCCCGGTGGCCCACCCAGGACGTCACGGACATGGACACAGCCCATCCTTTCAGTCTCGTCCACACCTGCCAATCACCTGCACAGCCCGCTCATGCCAGCTGCTCGGGGACACGGCACTCACCCGTCGTCTCTGTGTCTCTCCACCCGGAAAGTCCTGCTTGTCACCTCCTCTGGACAGTGTCTCCAAGATGCCCCCAGTCCTGTTCATCACTGTCCCCTCTGCCTCTGTGGCACCCTGCACGTGGCTCTGTGCACAGTGCTATTCAGAGCCTGTGGTTTGCAGCCCGTGAGTCGAGACCAGAAGTGACTGAGAACTTTTCAAGCCCCCGACCTGCTCACAGAGGCACTTGGCACCATCCGGCCAGCCACGCTGGGTGAGGGCCCGGTCTGTCCTTTCTCCTCACCGTGGCACTTGAGGGACCACTGAGCCCTGGCCTCTCGGCTTCATCCTGTGGATCCTGAATCTACTCTCCATGCATGGAGGATGGGTGTCTGCTGAATGAATTGTCGAGCGTATGACCCAGCTCTCTGGACCAGCTCCACCTGAATCCCGGCAGGTCTCCCACTGGGACGGGGATAAAGACTAAACAAAGGATAAAAGCAGCCAACGTGGCTCAGGTCCCGCTTTCCTGTACTGTTTCACATAATTGAGAGTTCATGAGAAGCAAGCTTGACTTAACAACCAGGTTCAAAGCCAGCCCAGGACCCCTGAGGGCCCAGAACAAATCCAGTGGTCCCTAAAGACTTCAGACCGCAGAAGACAGGGATGAATCAGATGTGGTGGGGTGGGTAGGGCCGTTCCCCTGGGGTGCCGGGTCCCCAGCACCTGAGCCGCCACTGCCACAGAGCTGCGGTGTGGAGAGCGGGTGGCCAAGAGGCTGCAGCCAGGAAGCTTCTACAACAGTCCTGTGGCCACTCCCGTCCTGGGCCAGGCGACTCACCCGGGGTAGGGTTGTTAACCCGTCCTCGTGTTCACGGCAATGAGGGCAGACAGGCCACTGCCCACAGAACCCTCTGGACAACTTTCCCGAGCTTCGGGCCACTCCGGGCCCCAGGCCTGCTCTTGTCATCACTGTGCCCTGTCTGTGGCATCCTGCGCATGCCTCGAAGGCCCAGATGAGCAGACGCTGCCCGCCTCGGACTTCCTCTCTTGCCGCTCTCCTCTCTCATGCTGCTCTGGCCTCGCTGGTCCTCCTGCATGCCAAGATCCTGCCCCAGGGCCTTTCACCCACCACCGTGTCTGCCTGGCAAGGTCTGGCCTCAGGGTTCCATGTGAACCTGCACCGAGGGAGGAGGAAGGCGACGGAGAGGCTGTGGATGAGGAACGGGGACCTGGAGAGCTGGGAAGAGGGCACTACTGGCTGTGCTCCACTCCCCTGGCGGCTGACCGCCTGGCGTCCAGTCCAGCAGCATTAGCGGTGCCCCAAGCAGGCTTCCAGCGCAGCCCCAAGTGCAGGAAACCTCCTTGTCCTTGATGATCCCTGTGTGTTCATCTGATCACGAGTTCTGTCCAGTGGCTTGGGGCGCACCGTGACCAGGGCGGGTGTGAGAGTGCCAGGCTGCCCACAAGAGGGCCTTGAAGTGCACTCAGAATGTGCTCCAGGGACCGAGAAGGACAGGACCCTGGGAGGAGAGAGGGTGGTGGATGCCCACGCCCCACTGCCCAGGCCCGGGGCCTGGAGGGTGGACTCTGTGGAAGGGACTCATGGGAGCCGAAGGGCTGGTGCCAGCCGGGCAGTGTGGAGCTGGCACTGAGAAGCTGCCAGCTCCCTGCCACCGGCACCTCGGCCACTTCCTGGCCCGGCCTGAACCAGGAGTCCTGCCCAACCCCTCACGCACCTGGAAGAACGCAGCTGAGTTTCTCATACACAGCAAAAACGACGCAGATCACAAAGGGAACTTGGGAGTTAGGAAGAACCAGACCCTGGGCCACCCCTCCCCAGCCGCCGAGCTGTCCTGCCGCAGACCTGGCGAAGCACACACGCGTGAGCGAGGTCAGTGCTGCTTTCTGATGTTGCTGACAACCAGGGCAGGCCTCTAGGGTCCCTGAGCAGATCCAGCTCCACACGCCTCTGCCTGCGTGACGCTGGTGAATCTCAGGGCCTCCCTGGAATCATCTCCTCTTCTTAGGGGTCCAAGGGCCAGGGGACCTGGCACCTTGGCAGGGGGCAGTGGGGTGCAGGGTCAGTGCCCCACGATCTCACCCTCCAAGCCGGCCACTCCACATCCCTGGCGTCTCTGTGGACGCTGCAGTCATGCCACCGTGGGTAGTTTAGAAAGAACGGGACTTTGCAACTTGGAAGCAACTCAAACAACCAGCAACGTGGGAACCATTAGGTGAATTGCGATGAGTTGAGAGTCGGAATATCGTGGAATAGCGTGCAGTCATTAAAAATGATGTGCTGGAGTGCACACAGCAGGGCCGGGAAACGCTCCTGGTATGTTATTAAGTGAAATAAAAAAGAAATACAAAATTATCTACACACGGTACAGGGAATTTAAAAGCCCTTCCTTTCTGGATTAAAAAGGGCAGGAACAGGCGCTGCACAGTAGTTTCAGCTCCCTCCGGGAAGCAGAATGGAGGCTGATTTTAATTTTCCTCCTCTGTTTTCTTTTCTGTAGTTTCCAGAGTTAGCAAAGGAGCCCATCTGTATCTCCAGGACAGGAAGACGACAGCGGATGAGGTCCTCTCGAGACAGAGGGGAGTAGAGGGGAAGGCGGGGATGATGCGGGCCTCTAAGGCCCCCGGCAGGCGGTGGGCAGCGGGGTACAGATGGAGCAGCCGGGCTAGAGGAAGTCAGGGTCAGCTCGGTCCCGCCTCCCGTATGGGCCGGATCGGCTCTGCCCAGCTGCACTGACCGCAATGCGCGGTGCTGGCCATGCCAGGTCCAGCTCTCAAATGGCAGGGGAGTGGCATGCGGCCCTGGGCTCTGGCCCAGATGCTCACTGGAGTTCTTCTGTCCTGCCCCCGCCATGTTCATTTGCCCTGGGCGTCAAAGCAGAGGGCCCCAAGGGACTGCTGGCCCCAGGCCACCGGGAGAGCCCAGGTGGGGGGACCCCGGGGAAGGGGCCAAGTGCATCCCTCATGGGATGGTGCTCATGCCCGTGGGGGCCTCCCTGCTCCAGCCCTCTGCTGCTCTGTCCCCACCCACTGGGTGCCACCTCCAGAGCAGCAGGGACAGCCGGAGGTGATGGTGTGCAATCCCCTGTGTCAGAGTCACCATGGGGACCGATGGGGACCAGGGCCTGGGCCACAGTGCCGGGCTCAGCCCCCAGCCCAGCCTCTTGGGGACTTGGCTGTGCGCCCTGGGACCTGTCCTCAGGCTGCACGTCTGGGGAGGCGGCCGAGGAGGACAGACGGTGTGAGGAGGATGCCTGCGGGGTTTCAGAGGAGCCTCCCTCCAGAGGGGCCCTCGTGAGGGCGCCACAGCAGTCCAGGGTGCCCCAGCCCTGGTCTGGGTGACGGCTGCAGGCCTTGTCCTCCTGCAGACTTCCAAACCTCAAGGCTGGGCCCCTGCAGCTAGCGGATGGGGACAGCATGGAAGGGGGACACTCAGGGCAGTGGCCCTTCACCAAACCCTAGGGAAGCATTTCACCCTCTGGTTATACAGGCTCACACTGCAAGCCACCAGCCCAACCCTGACTGACTGACTCAGCTGACTCTTGGCCCCCACCACGAACCCCAGCTTTCCACGTGGCCCATCTGTGGCTCTTCCCTGTGTCCCCCACAGAACCGCTGATCTGACCCACAGTGCAGTGTCCGGACTACACGCTGCCCTCCCCACCCACTCAGCCGCTGAGCTGTTCCTCCCGGGACCCTGCGCCTCTCCTCCAGCCCTCTTTTCTCATCCGGTCAGTGAAGACACTGAACACACTGACCTCATGGGGTCATTGAGAGAGAGGCAATAGGTCTTGCAGAGTACTGAGGTGCAAAGCACTGTGGGAAGCCAGTGTAACAAACATTACTATTAACACATGTGCGGGGAACTTCCTGTACAATGAATGAATGTTTAATCATAAAAATATTTAAAATAAAACAAAACCCCAAAAGCTCAAGGAGCACTGAGGTAAAGATTTAAAAGGTGGGTTCTGCAGGTATGCACTCTGGGAGGCTGAGGCAGGAGGATTGAAAGTAAATAAAGTTTAGGAATAAGTTCTGGGGTTATTCTGCACAACACAGAGGCCCCTCCCTGTGTGAGGATGGCTCAGGATGGCCCCGGAAGTTTCTGCAAAGGCAGAAATGTGCTGTCCCCACACTGTCCTGCAGCATGGCTCTGGAGCAGGTGACAGGAGCTGCGGGTCCCACTGGAGCAGAAGCTGCAGTTGCATGTGAACCTGCCGATGGCTAAGCAGCCCAGCCAGCGCAGGTGAGGCCCTGACCCAGGAAGCTGCCACCCGACCGTGGCAGGCAGAAGTTGCTTTGGTTTTGTTTGTTTATTTTTGTTTTTTTGATACAGGGTCTCACTGTGTAGCCCAGGCTGGCCTTGAACTCATGGTAACCCTCCTGCCTCAGCCTCCAGGAGTACGCCACCATGTCCGGATGAAAGCTGCTCTGGAAGCTGAGCTCTTGCCTTGATGCAGCCTGAGAGTGGAGGTGGCTGTAAGCTATTAAGGAAGCCGAGACAAAAGCACCATCACCATCACTGGTGATTCTCAGCCTGTCACAGAAGCCACGGCCTACGGGGGTCCCAGGTGGCGCCGTCAGAGTTTAACCCCGCAGTGGGCGTTTTCAGGAGCAGCCCGACGGGAGCTGAGTTTTGGGGCTTTCAGTGTATTCACAGTATTAACAAAGAGTGAAGCAGAACAGAGATGCCAGGAAACGGAAGAGAGGCTTCTCCAGAACGGAAGGCGATGGGAGCCAGAGTTTAGGGAAAGGCATGAAAAACGAATTCAGAGGCGTCAGGGAAAAGGGCCGGCTCCCCACGGGCACCGCAAGCACCGCGTACTAGAAATGTGGACAGACAGAGAATTAGAGAAAAAAATATATATCGACATGTTTGAGCCCCAGCGGTGGGCTCTGTGCTTATTTCCCATTTTAAAGATAACGGAAGGCAGGCTCGGAGCGGGTGAGTAACTTGTTCGGGGTCCTGCGGCTAGTGAGCATCAGAGCCAGATTTCAACCCAGGTGTTCTGGCTCCAGGATGAAAGTATCCAAACACATGGCTGAAATACCACACTGTATCCCATAGATGGATGCAACGTTACTCATTAGTTAAATCCAGGGCTGCAATTAATGTTCCAGCAGGTGCTTAGCTTTCCAAGTAGCATTTTTTCCAAAGTAGCAGTTCAGAGATGCACACCGGTGACCCCAGCATTCTGAGAGGCTGGGGCAAGAGGACTGCAAATTCCAGCCCCGCCTGGGCAAGTTAGTAGCTCAGTGAGCCTCGTCTCAAAATAAAAAATGAGCACGGGCTGGGGACACGGCTCAGGGAGAAGCTCTGAGTTCCACTCCCAGTGCTGAAGAAAAACAGGTCAGGGTTCACACGGGTGCACAGCAGATGTACGTCCCGTCCACGGCCCCAACGCCTCTGCTGCACACACTCAGGGCACGGCTCCTCCCTGCCCGGCTCCTCCTGTGCTATGCTGGGCTTGGTGCTCCCCATCACACTTCTTTCGGGAGGGGTCCCCTGTTCTCCAACTTCTGTCCCCTCAAGGACCCTCGACTCTCCTCCTGAACATCCAGACCTGCTAAATGCCCTTGGCCTCAGTCTCCTGTCGTTTTTTTTACAGGGTTTCACAACATAGTTTAGGCTGGACTTGAACTCACGATGTGGCCTTGAACTTGCCGCACTTCTCCTGCCTCAGCCTCTGGAAAGCTGGGATAACAGTCATGCCGCTGCGCCCTGCTTTGGTTTGCTATCGGGAAATAGGGAGAGTCAGGGCTGGCTGGTGTGGGAGAGGGGCTGTGAGGACAGGCTCGGGTTGCAAGGCTTGTGCAAGGCAGGGCTTGCATGTCACAGGCATCAGTATCAAGGAGAGGCCAGCCTGGGCCAGCAGTGGACAGCAGCCAGGTGGCAGAATGCCCAGCGGTGAAACCCGCTTCCAGTTCTGCAAGGCTTCACTGAGCACTTAATGTGCACCTCGCACTGCGCCAGGGCGGCCCTTGGCGCCATCTCAGACGGTCGGGAGGGGTCCTCAGGCGACCTCCGAGGTGAGTCCTGAAGGGAGGAGCCAGGCGCTGGTCCGAGGGGACAGAGTGTTCCAAGGAGGGGCCCAGAGCACCGCCTTGAGAATCCTCTGCCAGCGCACCTTGCCGCTGGCCCCCAGCCCGGGGATCCTGCACGGGGAGCAGTGAGCTTTCCACTTCCATTCCCACCTCAGTCGACACAGCTCCCGGAAACCGTGCCTTCCAGGGTGCTCCCCCATGCAATACTACAAAGCTTGGGTGCCATCCAGTCCTCACCTCGTGACCAAACCCCAGTCCTTCTGCACCAGTGTAGGGCTGAGACCGGAAGCAGGCACCCCACACAGGCCGCGGGCTTGTGCTCGGGTGCGGGGCCTCAGTGTGAGGTCTTCTTAGAGGCTCTGGTGCTTATCACACTTTATTTAATAAGTGCATTCACGTCCTACCCTGCGAATGGTCATGAGGTTGCAGAAAGCACTGCAGGGATTTGAGATGCAGTCATTCCTCAGGGCCTTTGCCAGGGGACAGCAGGACAGCCCAGGGCTCGCACCAGGGGTTCATGATCCAGTCCCCAGCTGGGACTGTGCGGCCACGGGTGAGTCCATTGCCTGTGGTTTGGCTGAGCCTGGGGAAAAGCTTGTGAAACACGGTCACCTCACTTCACGTAAACACACCGCCATTAAATCTGCACGCTCAACTTAATTCAAATACTCAGTTCTAGTTCAGTGTTTTGAAAATGAAGGTTACGAGTCCCAAGAGAGCCAGCAAACTTTAACAAATAGTATTTCCAGGCTGTGGACCTTGAAGTCCCTGTGACAGTGAATCAGCTGCCACAGCAGAGGGCCACCGGCGGCTGTGCGCTGGTGCCCGCTTACCTGGGAGAGGAGGTGGAGGCCCGGCCATCGCCCCTCTCTGCACTCTGCCCACGGACTGTGGCCTGCACTTGAAACTGCAGAACACCCTAGGCGGGTGCAGCATCACACACATTACCAGCCAATCACAAATTCACTTCCTTGGTCGTCACATCCGTCATCAATGAAGAGGACACACAGGACTGGACACTCTGGGAGCCGGAGGAGCCGCCGGAAGCCGCCCTTGGGCACCGTTCACCTCTGACGTCCTGTTCAGTGTGCGGGACAGACTCGGTCCCTTCACACCTCAACTCTTCCGCGGCTCAGACTGTTCCGTTTCACACCGTCAGCTTCTCTGACAGCTGGTGACAGGCGATCGGTGGCACCGTCACATTACGGGTGACTGCACATCTTCGAGCTCACCCTGCCTAGACCGACTGGGGGTAATTCTGGGGATCTCGCTGTGGTGGGGGCACGCACAGGGTTTCCTGTCTGTCTTTCCTGAGCGATGCTGCCCAGCACTCCTGTTGGGCACCGCCTGCTTCTGAAGGTGACCACCTTGGCTTCTCTCCTTGGGGCAACAAGTGACAGAAATTGCCAGCAGCCAGGTTCACCAGGGAACCACTGCTATTTTTAGTCATGGAGGTGTGGGGGAGGGGACCGTGCCCCAATTCAGCATGAAGGTCATTTCCTGTTTGGAAATTTTGTAAAACTTATCTGAGCGATTGCTGTTTTTAGACAGTGCCTCCCTCTGCAGCCCAGCTGCCTTTGAAGTCACTATGAAGCCCAGGTTGGCCTCAAACTCCCAGTAATCCTCCTGCCTCAGTTTCCCAAGTGCTGAGATTATAGGTGTGCAATGCCACACTCTGCTCTGAGTATTTAAGATAAAAACTTTGCAGCATTGGATGGGTTTTAGAAGCTCAAGAAATAGTGGGTGAAGTGGTGGAAGCACTTAGATTATGGAAATACTCAGTGTCTGGAGAGAGACGTTGCATGTGACAGTCAGATGGCGCCGAGGGTTGAGTCCACTGCTGGGCCAAGAAAGGCTCCTCTGAGAGGAAAGGATGGCTCGAGGCCCAGAGCGACTGCCTGGGCTCTGCTGGGCACCACAGCTGATTGCACCAGCCTTGCCTGCCGAGGGTTGTGGGCCCTGCCCAGCGCTGCTGGAGCAGACAGCCAAAGAGACGGCATCTGATTTGGGTTGGGAGACACGAGAGACAGTGAGGCGGGAGAGAGAGAGAGAGAGAGGATGCAGAGCCCAGGCGCCTGCCCTGGTGTCTGACCTGGCTCACACTGGGCCCTGCTGGACACCACGTCTTGCTTTCCAGACAACAAACCGAGGTTGCTCCTAGAAGCCCGGCTGGGAACCCTGGGTCTCCCGGGTCCCCCGAGTTCAGCCCAGCTGTTCTCCACTGGCCCCTTGGGAGCAGAGCAGTGCTCCCCACTCCCCTCACAGCCCAGTGCATCCACCAGGCCAGGAGCCCTCACAGGGCAGCCGTGGACATCTGACTGCTCCAATTGCACTCTGAGTGCTTAAACAGATCCAGAAGGGAAGGAGCCCGAGAGGGCGGGCATGGGGAAGGTGGTGAGTGTGACTGCAGGGGCAACAGGGCCTTGTCTGAAGCTTTGCCGGGGTGGGGGGACAGAGCCTGCGGGGAGATCCGGCTGTCATGCAGGGAGACCATGGGGCAGGTGTGGGGAGGAATGGAGGTGACACCCGGGCTAGATGTGGGGTCACAGGAGCCCCAGTGTCTGAGAAGCATGCTGCCTTGGGGGCTGGGAGGAGGGTTTGGGGAAGTCTGGAGAAAAGGAGGCTTAGCCTGGGGCTGCATGAGTGTCCAGGGCAGAGGGTGAGTGACGTCGGGCAGCAGGGTGGGGGACACTTCTCATCGGGGCTGAGGCCCACACACACGCCTGGTCAGGGGTGGCACACACTGGTGGCCTGGGAGAGTCCCATCACTGTGCTCAGAAGGCAGGACAGGTGCTATAAGGTCACCACCTGCCTGAGCATGAGAGGGACACAGCCAGGAGGGACAGAGCGGGGCTGGAGGAGGCTCTGAGGTGCCCGGGTCACCCGGGATGGGGAGACCAGAGGGAGGCAGGCAAGTCATGGAGGCGGGGCCACGACTGCACCCTCAATGTCAGGGCCGCAGGGAACCTGGCGATGTCCTCTGTGATTATGTTTGGCAGGGACCACGTGTGCTCGCCTCCTCTCCCTGCAGGGTATGCGATGTGCACCAGGCACTTCTGGCTCAGCCTGGATGCTGAGACGCAGTGGTCCTCAGACCCAGTGTCAGCCTGAGACAGACCGAAACACCGCCGCCAGCCGGGGCTTCTTAGAAAACAGGACGCAGTCCCTGTCTGGCAGGCACATCACCCACTGCCCGGAGCTAGAGCCCAGAACCCCAACTCTGCAAGAAGCCCGGTCAGGTCCAGCCATCCCGGTGGAAGCAGAGAGCCCCGAGCTTCAGAACCACAGAACCAAGGAATGGAGGGGAAGTCTGCCAGCCGGGGGGACTGCCCAGCTCTGTGCTGCAGCGTGGGCACTGCTACGGGCCCTGTGCAGCTAACTAGGTTCCAGCTCCTCTGGGAAGAGTTTACTCTTTGCATCCTTGTTGTGTAAGTGGAGAAACTGAGGCACAGACAGGCCAAGGCGCTTTCGCAGGGCCCTAGGCTTTCATGACAGGACTGGATGGAAAGCCGGCTCTCCTAACCCCTCTGTGATGACCAGAGGTCACTCGCGTGTGTAGCTATTGTGGAGCGGGGACCGTGAGCCTAAAGGACAGGCAGGGGCACCTTCATGTAGCCGCCTCTCCTGAAGGTTGGTCGGAACTCTGGGGTACTCGGGTGTCCAGAACTGGGACCCTAGGAGCTCAGGCTGCTGCAAGGCAAGGGCAGAGACGAGTTCCGCCCAAGGACGTGGCACCCCGGGCTGCCATCAGCTCAAGGAAGCCGCAGGGCTCTGGAGGCCCTGGCTCCTCCGACCCGGACTCTTTACAAGACCTGGCGCGGCCTCTGCGGACCCGCTGACCAGGACACCTCGGGCACGTCAGGGCCCAGTCGCCCCAGGCAGAGGCGAGCTGCGCGCTTACCTCTCCACCTGCAGGCTGACCTTGGACGGCTCCACGTTGGGGTTCTCCCACTCCATCTGCGGGCAGTGCATGAAGTAGCAGAGCGTGTACAGCGCCTCTGGCTCCCAGTAGAGCGCGCCCTGCCGGCGGTGCAGGGGGGTGCCGTTGCCGTGCTGCGTGGCGTGCAGCGGCTGCAGGTGGTGCATGGCGCGCGAAACCAGGTCACCTGCGGGAGGAAGCGAGGTGTCAGGCGCGTCACTCGTGGCAGGGCTGTCTAGGCCTCGGGCACCTGGTGCCATCCCACCCTCCGGACGCCAGTGTCTCCGATGGTGCCACCCTGGGTGTGGCCGGGCCTGCTGTGGCACGTGGACAGGCTGCGCCCTGTTGGCCTGCTCTGAATCTTCCCTCCCCTCTCCGGGCTGCCTGGTCCCCACGCAGTGGTCCCGGGGCTTTCCTCACGCAGAGCACCGCCTCCGATCGCCTCTGCCCCCCACAGTCTCCCTAGTCTGGGGTGTTGCTTGCTACACACCTGGCACACTTTGGGGAAGAAACCAGACCAACGCCTGACAGAGGCGAAAGCAGAGGCTCAGTGACATCTCAAGGTCACGTGGCAGAGCCGCAGAGCCGGGCACGTGCTCCGGCACCAGGCTCGGGGTCAGCGCACCAGGAGCCCGGGCTCCGCCTCACCCCTCTTAGCACAGGCAGACCACGGGCTCGGGCTCTGATGCCCGTGTCTAGATGGCCTGGGAGGTGGGCAGACCCCGTGCGGGGCTTTCCGGAGGGGCTGGATCTGCAGTGTGCGGTGCTGGGCCCCAGGGCGGGCGGCTGCTGAACCAGTCCACTGAGGTTTGGCACAGCTCTGGCCAGGACTAAGGCTGCCCAGCCAGGGTGTGAGCGATGCCTGCCCAAGGGCGGGCAGCCTGGGAAGACAAAAGGGAAGGGAGAGGGCCTCGGGCTTCGTGGCTTGCTGCCGTCTGCCCGCCATGGGCTGTTTGGGTGCTGCCCTGCCTCGGCGCCAGCCGACTCTGAACAGAAGCACCTACAAACCTGACTGCCCCCCACACGGTACCCTGGAGGAGCACCTCGAAGGCAGGCCCTGGCTTTTCTTGGCTGGGATGTTGCTCTGTACATTTGGGTCATTGTGCAGCCCACCTTTGTGACCATGGTAACCTGTGGTGCTGCCTTCACCGCCACCTGAGCTTCATCAGGCTGGTTCTGTTTTATTTAAATGCTTCTGTCTACGGAGGAAAACTCCGTCACTATCACAAGTAGAAAATGAGGGTCGCTTGCCACAAACAGAAGGTCACTGTTACAGCAAATCTGACGGACACAGCACCGTGGAGCTGATTTCCAGGTGAAGCCTGGCCCTGCCTCCTGCTGTCACAAATAACAAGCAGCAGGGAGGGTCGGGCTGTCCTTCGGATGGTAACAGGGCTGGGGTGAAAGGTGACAACCGCCCCGTGATCAGGGATGCACCGTGCACCACCCGCCCTACGGAAACACACTTGGGGCCCAGCCTGAGGCGCCCTGGACAGCTGCCTGTGTCCCCTCGGCTGGGCCACAGCACTGGTTGTTGGGTGGGAAACTGGTCTGGGTGTTGCTGGGGGCGTTTGTGAACAGGATCAACATTAAGTAGTGGGTGCTGCCTGAGCCGCCCCTTCCATTGCATGGGGGCCTTGGGAGGAGGAAGGCGCCCTGTCTCCAGGCTCTGACGTCAGCTCTTGCTAGGTTGTGCAGCCAGCTGTGGCCCGGCGGAGCGCAGACAGCGTCACCGTCTCCCTCCCTCCCTTTCCCCAGTCTCCACTGTCCTGCTGATCCGTCCAGTGGGACACTGCCACAGGAAACATAAACCGGCCACGTGAAGCAGGACCAGGGCTGCCCCTTCTCAGTTGTCTCCACCCCGCCTTAACCTCAAAGGTGCTTGGCAAGACACCGCCCACCCTGTCCACCTCCGGCCACCCTTGGGGGAGTTGGCATGGAGATGAGGTGCTCGGAGGCCTTCCCCGAGTGTAGATACAGCTTTATAATCTTCTGTGTTCTCCACAGCCTCCTGACAGAGCTGGGCATTGAGAGGACAGCTGGCCGGAGTGCGTCCTGGACTGACAGCTGGGCGGCAGTGCGGGGGCTGTGCACACCGCTACAGAGTGTGCCAAGCAGGGGTGCTGGAAGCCGGGACATTCACAGCAGGGACCTGTGTCCCCTTGTCCCTCCACTCCGCTGAGGCCCTGGCATCAGGTTGCCATCAGGGAGCAGGGTGCCAGCTCTCCAGTGACTGAACTCCTTGTGCTTGGTCTTGGGCTCTCTAGACATAGACTCCATTCTGATGCACCGAGGTCCCAGTGTCATCGGCGCAGTGATGACTGCCTTAGGCAGGCTCCACCCACTGGGCAGCAAGCCAGGCCCCGAGAGGAGCGCCCACACATGAAGCCTGGCCGTGGGTTTTCACCTGGTGTTGGGTTTGTAGCTGGGATGATTTCACCACCCAGGGGACAGCTGGTGACACTGGGAGACATTTCTGGCTGTCACACCCAGAAGGCTGCTGGGGCGTCCAGTGCATCACTCTTAGGGACGCTGCGAAGAACCTGCAGTGCACAGGGTAAGGACTTTCACCCCAAATGCCCCGCTTACAGATGACACAGCAGCAGGTCAAGGGTGAGGGGCTGGCAGGCGAGGTGAGCTTCATCTCTGTCTCGTATGTCTTTACCCGAGGGACCTGCGTCCCTCTCCCAGAGGCCCCCAAGCTGCCTGCAGGCACAGTGGACTCAGAGGCACTCAATTCGGTGCCAGGCAGGCATTAACAAAGCTCCCAAGCCCACGGCACTAAGTCCACTTCTGGGAACCGGTCCCCGTGTCAGAACTCAAAATTCAGCACAATCTTCGAGCCCGAGGATTTACATCCAAACCTTATTTAAAGAATCCAAAATGTGACAAACGAACGCTCACAAGTAAGAAGGCATGGTTAAGGAAACTCTAATACCTGCACTCGGGACAATAAAAGCTTGTGTGGGCATTAAAATGTGAGTGCAGAATGCTGTATCATGCGAAAGAATCTCCAGGCTGGCAGGGTTGGAGGGAAGAAGTGAAATTCCAAAGTGCATGGCCAGGATTATGGCATTAAAACTGTGCACAAAGTAAAAACCAGGAAGGACAACACGCTTTTGACCGAGGGTTTCTCTTCCTAGCAGGTTAGGGGTGACATTCTCGTCCAGCTCTTCTGTGGTTCCCATACTTTGAATTCTGGCACCTGATGTTTGTAAGGTCGGAATAACTTGCTTGCTGAGGTCGGGCATTTGCCTCCTGGTACCTTACTTTTAGGATCAGCCTGGAATACACTGATCTCTCCCCCCGCCCGCCCCCATTAAATAGCTCAAAACAAGAAAAATCAAGTCAGGTGCGGGGGCACACACCTGCAACCCCAGCCCGCTGAGAGGCTGAGGCAGGAGCATTGCAAGCTCGAGCCCTGCCCGGGCGATTCAGCAGTTTGTGGGACCCTGTTTCAAGGTGAAAAACAAGAAAAGGGATTGGAATGCGGCTCAGTGACAGGCCTCGGGTTCAGTACTGAGAACTAAAGGGTCAGGAGGAAGCGGAGAGGAGGAGAGGGCACACCTTCGGGGCCCACCTCACCCCTCGCTCCCCAGCCTCAGGAACCTGCTGTGTGGGTGACTTTGGCCGGTCGGGCTTGGGTCCCCACCTCCTCGAGGCACTCTGTGGCTTGGCTCGGCTCTTCTCCCACCTTGGGGTGCCCTTCCCTGCAGCCGCCCAACCACCTACGGCCTGCCTGGCTGTGTCAGCTGCCACCTCCCCCGAGGAGCCCTCCAGGCTTTGCTGACCAGACCGAGTCCCCTCTCCCTGTGTCGCTGCAGCTGAGGTCTGCAGGCCTTCTGAACTGGTGGCACCTCATGGAGAAAGGGCCCACCACCATCATCACCACCACCATCATGACCACATCGTCCTTGTCTCCACTGTCATCCCCTCGGCCAGCTGGGGGCCCGGCTGTCTTGGAGACGCTGATCCCACGGCCCAGTGCCCTCCCTGCCACCCACGCTGCCGTTTGCCCCACACATCCCAAACCCCAGCCTTGAGTCCACTTGTCACGAGCTTTGCAGCGCAGGGGCAGCTGGGCTCAGGCTGCTGGAGCCCTCAGGGCCCAGGCTATGGACAGCTGTGCTCCCTCGGGAGCCGCTGCCAGGGTGCCCTGCCTCTGTGCGCAGCAGCTACAATTTATTCATTTAATATCTTTCTGTAAATTGGCTCGTTTGTTCCATAAATACATTTACTTAAAAAGGCAACTTCCTGTCAGGGCCACACATGGAAAACCAATCTTTTTCTAACTCTCATAAAATATGCATAGCAATTAGAGTGACAAATTGTGCTGGCGTCACACAGGGTCCTCTCCCAGCTGCCCTGGGCACACTGTTCTGCGCTGCCCGGCACTGGGCCCTGCAGCCGGAAGTCACGGCTCTGCGGGGCCAGGTGTGGCCGCTGGACGAGGCCCCCTCCCTGCAGGCCTCTGCCCTGCCTTCCGGTTACCAGTCCTCAGCCTCGCAGGGCCCGAGCAAGGCGTCCCCTCCTGTGCACAGAGGCAGCACTGGTGACAGTGATCGGTCACTCCCGTAAGTCATAGAGAAGGTCACCGAGGCCCTTGGAGAGTGAGTGTCGTAGGCTGCCCTCTGACAGGTCCCGTCCCAGCCCCGGCCCTCAGGAGGGAAAGAGAGGGAGAAAGAAAAGAGGAGAAAAGAAAGGAAAAGAAAGGAAGGGAGGCAGGGAGGGGAGGAGATGAGGCTTGATCCGGCCTCAGGCGCGGCCACGATGAGGGAGCAGCGGGAAGAACAGAACCGAGCTCTGGACTCGGTGGGGTGCTGGCCATGGACCCCAATCTCATTGCCAGGTACCTCGAGGGAGTCCTGCCGTGCACTGCCATGCGGGGTGTCAGAGTCTCAGCTCTCCAAAGGATTTACGGTCTTGCTCTGGGAGACAGAAGCTAAATGGGACAGGGGTTCAGGCGGCAGGAACCGCAGCAGGCTGGGAGTGGAGGGTGGCGGGGGCGGGAGGTGGGTGGTCATAGCAGGGCTCCTGAGGAGGCAACTTTCTAGCTGAGACTCGGGTGAAGACAGAGAGGAACCTGTGACCTCAGGCACAAGGGCAGCAGGTGTAAAGGCCCTGTGGTGGGACCTGAGTGGGATATTCCTCAACACCCAAGCCCTGTGGCCACCCAAGAGGATCATAGGTAGCAGGATTCTGAGGACAGCCACTGGGTTTCCAGCAAGAGAGAAGGAATGTTTCTGTGGGGCATGGTTGTGCACGCCTGTAATCCTGGCACTTGGGAGGCCGAGGCAGGAGGGTCCCCATGAGTTCAAGGCCGGCCTGGGCTACATAGCGAGACCATGTCTTGAAAAAAAAAATTTCTGAGTGCTTTTACCCAGAAAACCTTTATATCCCTGTAAACTGTGGCCCTGTTTTGATTCCTAATTGATCAAGGAGGACAAGGCACCAGTGTGGAAAGATCTCCGAAGGAGACAATTACAGTGAAGTCTTGGTGCTTCCTTTCTACAACAAGGAGCAAGCCCTGCAATGAGTGACCGCCAGCTGGACTTAACTGGCAGCTGGGCAGGCGGGGTGCTGGGCAGAAAGGCCGGGCAGCGCAGGCAGGCCTGGTGCGGAGTAGGGAGCAAGGAGCCGGAGCCTCGGCTTCCAGGGCCGGGTGGACCCACGTCGCGGCCCACCCAGATGGCCTCCAGCCTCTAGGTCAGCTGTGACCAGAGAGCTGCCGGCCGTGTGCAGCTGGGAACTGCGGTACCCCAGCCTCAGACCCGAGGACACGCACAGCTCCGGGTCCAGCGGGGAGCGCCGTGTGGGGCTGGCGCCCGGTCACAGGTGCCCTCGTGTGCAGCGCTTCCTCCAGCGCTGGTGTCAGACCAGCGCAGGCCACGCCACTCCGCGACTCAGTGCTTTTCCCAAGCTGCGGGTGATGGGCATGTGCTCAGAATACAAAATGGACGTGAGTGCAGCAGAGCAGGGGGCGGAGACGACGCAGGGTGAGCCTTGCCACAGCTGCCCACGTGGTCCGGGCAGGCCTGGGTCTCTGCCCAGCCTCAGGCTCTGCTGCAGTCGGGGATTGCACGGAGTATAGGACAGTACAGGAGACATGACCGATAGTGTCATCTACAGTGGTCACCCAAGGAGTCAGACCCGAAGACAGTGCAGGAGATCCCTGCACGCACTACAGACCTAGAGAGTGCAGCCGAGGGCCTGTGTCCCCCAGCACGGTCCTGCCTGAGTCCAGCTGAAGACCTAGAGCCCACGACACTGACTCGTGCAAGTCTTTTTCTTGGATCTGAGTGGGAAGGCCTCGGGTCAGCGGTGGAATCCAGAAAGCCTGAGCCAGCGGGGTGAAGGAGCCGTGCCGGTAGGTTGAGGCTTCTACACTGGAGCCGAGAAATAACACTCAAGATACGGACCAGGGCTCCCCTGAGATGCACCACCGCCACCCTCAGCTGCAGTGAAGTCTGAGCTCCTCTGGCGATGGGAACAGAGTTCATCCAGGAGGCAGCCTGACAGCTCCTCCTGGAGACTGAGCAGCACACAGCTTCCCCGCCGGAGCCAGAAGCGATGCTCAAAGTAAGGACCGGAGCTCCCCTGGGAACCGCAGCCACCCTCAGCGACAAGGTCCCGAGTTCATACCAGGACGCTGCACGGCTCCCCAAGGAGCCCGTGTGCCTCCTCCTCCTCCTCCTCCCCAGTCTCCCTCAGGCCAGCTGTCCCCTCTCAGCGCCGCACTGACTCGGTTCTGACAGGGCGCCACACGCTGGCCGTCACCCCGGCTTCCTCGATGTGGCATCGGGAGCCATGCGTTCCAAGCATGTGGTGTGCAGGAAGGTTCCGGAAATGGGGGACGTGTGCTGGGAGGAGGCCAGATCCTCCAGGAAGCAAGGATTGAGAGGGAGGACCAAGTACCACTGTCCCCTCGAGGGTGTGCCCCAGTGACCAGCTCCCCCACAGGCACCGCCTCGCCAGCCCGGGGCCGAGGCTTCATCACAGGGACTTCAGACCCCCACAGAGCCACGGAGGCTCACACCCTCCGCAGATCGGGTTGGCGTCCCATTTGGGGACCGCTGCCCATGTTACTGCTCACGTGTGGCCCAGAGGAGGCGCCTGCAGAGCCCATAGCCACCCCCAAGCTCTCAGAAGCCAGGGCTCTGGGCTCCGCATGGAAGGCCGTGAGAAGTGACCCCTGTCCTCAGAGCCCCCTCTCCACCTCGGCACTTAGGCAGCCTGTGCGGACTGAGAAGAGGTGCTAGGGGCATTAGGACTGTCACCAGAAGGGCCAGAAAGTCCCCTGAAAAGGCCACACTGCCATCATGAACAGCTGGGGGGTCACTTGGGGGCAGTAAATGCAGAGGCCCTGAGGGACGGACACCTGGAACAACAGGGCCGCAGGGGAGACTGGAGGACAGCTTGGGCACAGCTGAGGGCTCTGGTGTCCTCTGGCCAGAGGGAGCCCTGGGAGGAGGCTGAGAGCAGGGCGGTGACACCTGCCCCACCCGGATGCCACCCCTGGCTCCTCATGCCCACGGCTGGACCCCACATTGGCTATGGTGTCGTTTCTGTTTCAGAGAAACTGAGGCTGGGAACCGACCAGGCCTCCATCCATGCACACGCAGAATGGGGACACCTCCCCAGAATCTGGAGCCCTCGCCCGTCCCACCCCATCCGGTGCCACCCCACTTACTGAGCTCGGCAATGCTGCCCACGCGCGTGGCCAGCAAGGACTGCTCGATGGTCCGCAGCTCCGACTGGCTGAACACGGGCAGCTCCCCCGGCTTGGCTGTGCGCTGCGGCTCGCGATGCAGGTTCAGGCTGTCGGGCAGGCTTAGCACCCCTGTGACGGGGAAGAGAGAGAGAGAAAGACAGGGTCACCCTTCAGACGCAGCCTGGGCCACACCAGGGTCATGCTGCCAACCACCGTGGGGCAGGGACTCTGAGTCCAGCTCCTTAGGTGCCCACGAGGAGCTGGCTGGTAGAGCTGTACTAATGTGGGCACTGGTCAGGGCAAGTTCACTTCCAGCCCTTGGACTGGTGGAGATTCCGCCCCCTGGTCCTTGGGACCAAGGGTCACTGTCCACCCACACCTTCCACGGTAGCTTCCCGAGTGCCCAGGGGATGGTCCCTGCTGGCAGTGACTTCATTTTTTCAACACAAGATCTAGGTATGTAATCCAGATGGCTTAGAACTCACAAAGATACTCCTGCCTCAGCCTGCTGAGTGCTAGGGTTACAGGTGAGGGTCACCACACAAAGCATGCTGCATACTGGGCCGGCAGATGCCCCTGCAGGTCAGGCTGCTGTCTGGACTCCTGGAATTCGGTCACCCCTGCCCCTTTCTTGCATTTCTAATGCACCCCAAACTACTCACTGCCAACAAGCACCTGTGAGTTTGAGCTCGCTCTCCTGAGCTCTGCATCTGCCAGGAGCAGACCACACCCTGCCGGCCCAGTCTAAGGAGGCGAGAGACTCACACTGCAGCCCAGCAGACACCTGACCCCCAGAGGTGTCCTGGAGGCTCCACAGAAGCAAGTGCTTTTTGGTGTGCACAGAAGGAGTGGGGATAGTTGTTATTCACCATTATCTTGGGAAAAACTGATAGATACACCCACCAAGCAGCAGTCCCTGAGGATACAGTGAATAAGGCAGGTGATACTGGGTTAGGGGCTGTGGCGGGATGAGGGACAGAGTCCCCCTGCCCTCAGTGAGCACTTGCCCAAGTGATGGGGAGAGATCTCTACACATAACCACAAACTGGGGGCCTGCCCAGGGCTCTGTGTGGAAGACGAGGACTGGAGGTCTTAGTGGGTGCTGGCCACACACAGGAAGCCGTCAGCCCTGGAGGTGTGGGAGCAGCAGGAGGCACCCAGGAGCTCACGGTGCCCGAGGCTGGGCCGACACAGTGACCAGCGACGGTGGCACAGGTAACACAGGGTGACCGGAACCCCGGGCAGGCTGCAGGGCATCAACACCACAGACGGGTTCACACTCTATGCGTCCCTCCCCTGCCCTCACGGGCCACGCAGCTGCTCGACGCCTCCCGAGTGCTGATTCCTAAAAGACACCAGGGCATGGCGAGGGCAGGGGCAGGAGTTCATGGGTTCAAGAAGAATTGTGGGTAAATAATGCAAGTGTACTAGAAGTCGCTTTACTATCTGATGATCAGAAACAGAAACAACGCTTCTCCCTACGACTCCCCTGCAACCACTTATTTTTGACTGTGATTCGGAACAGCGCAGCGGGACCTTAAAGCGTGACTTTAACTCGTTTGGCCACGTTCACGTTGGCACGAAGATGGCCACGGTCGTGTTGGTTACCTGATGAGCAAGTCTCAAAAACATTTTGTCACATGCTTCTGTTTGTGAACCAAAATGCTCACAGACAAAGGCACTGTGAACCAGGGCACTGTGTGTTTTAGGTCATAGTCTAGGACATGCAAAAAAAATCCACAGAAAATACCAGGGACCCTCCTGGTGTGCGATGCGGTCTCCGTCTGTCTATTTCCTCTGCTATTTTACCCATCAACGAGCCAGCTGCGGTCCCCAGATGGTTTCGTGACACCCAGGGCAGCTCCTCATGAAAGCCCAGCTTTCCTTTGGGGACCGCAGGGCTGTCACAGATGCCCCAAGCAAGGCTGGACACTTCTGTGCCCTCAGTGGCATGGTCTTCTCCATCTGCCCGGAATGGGGCCTCTGGTCACTCCATCCCTGCCCAGCTGTGATGTCAGAGGCTGAGGCAGCAGCCGTGGCCGTGGTGGCGGCCCATGTGCTCTCCTCAGGTGCCCCGACTTGGATGTCTCTGACTCCGGTTTGGGGATCTCCCACCCCTTGAAGCACTGCAAAGCGCCAGACAATCACGTCCCAGAGGGAGAAGTGACCCAGGCTTCTGGGTAATGAGTCCCACCGCTTGGGGGGAAGGGGCCCTGAGTGCAGGGAGAGGGGTCTAACGGATAGTGCAGAGGACTCAGAGGGTCCCAGCGGGCCCGCTTGGTGCCTGCAGGATTTGCCACAAGGCCACTTAGGTCTGCAGTTTAAAATGTGGCTGCACACATTGGTCAAGATGCAGACAAAGGACCCGTGGCCTCTGGGCTCAGCCCTCGATCCGCAGGTATTCGGCCTTGAGGTGGTTACAGAGCCTCTCTGTCCCGCTCCTGTGGGCCAGGGTAAGAGCTATGGCCTTGTCCTTCTCCTTGGGTGAGGTCTGTCGGGTTGGGCTGAAGCTGCAGGTCTGAGGAAGAGGAGGAGGAGGAAGAGGAGGAGGAGGAAGAGGAGGAGGAGGAAGAGGAGGAGGAGGGAGGAGGGAAGGGAGGGAGAAGGGGAAGGGGATGTGTACCAGGTGTCCGCTCTGCAAAGCCCTCTCTGCTCTGGGGTCAGCTGAGCTGGGCCCTGACACTGTCCCTTCCCAGTGCCCTCCCAGACACTGAGGTGTCCCCTACCTAGCAAGGGCCTGGCCTGCACTTTGTGTGTCCAGGGCCTGGGGCCCAGAAGCCACGTGCCATTTCCCCAAGCCACTGCGCCTCGGGCCGCTGACCTGCTCAGGCCATGGCTCAGAAGAAGAGGAGGAAGCCTCTTCCTGCTGAGACGAGCCTGCACCGGCCTCCCCCACACTTTTCTCCAGGGCCATGGGGCACATCTTTCTGCCCCTCCTGGGCAGGTGCCCTCCCTGCGCTGCTGAGCTCTGTTCCTCTGCAGGAGAAACTGAGCAGGGGAGAATCAGCACCCACCCAGCCTTCCAGGCAGGTGCTGGTGGTGACAACAGAGGGGAAGGAGGAGGAGGAGGAGGGAGAGGAGGACAGGAAGAGAAAGACGAGGGGAAAGGAGCCGACCTTTCCTGTACCCGCTGTAAGCCAGGCCTGTGCCAAGCGCTTCAGGTATTTAAACACAAACTCACTGTAATCTCCACAGCACCCCCTGGGGCAGGGAATCCAGGCTCCTTGGAAAGACCATGAGGTGCCAGTTAAGAACCAAGTGGCTTCTGAACCTGAACTCTCCACGGCCTGACCGGGGCTTCTGTGCTGTCTGCTGTCTCCCAGCATCAGGGTCTCTGGCCCCGAATGGGGGGTGCAGGTGCAGCTGGAAGGAGCTGGGCAGGGGAGGTGGGCTCAGGTGGGCCCTGGGGGTTGGCACGGTGAGCTGGCATCCCGGACATGGCTGGGGAAAAGGGGGACGGACACTGCCACACCGGGCCCAGGACTTTGCTGAGCCAGCCAGCGGGTAAATGGAGGGGCCTGGGGACTCTAGTAGGAGCTGGGTGTGTCGCCCACCCTCATCTCCCTCGGGGCCCATGGTGCCTTGGTTCTCTGCCTCCTGGGTGCTGGGCAGGGGCCGGAAAGGTGTGCCCAGCCTGGTGCAGCTACCACTGATGATGGAAGTAAACGAAGTACTCTGAGGTCAAGGGTTTGGGGACCCACGGCCCAGACACGCGGGGCCTCGAGTGACTGCTGAGGTCACGACTGGAAACGATCAGATTTCTTGCAGCGCATGTCACTGGGCTTGGAAAACCCTTTTAAGAGGCCTGGCACAGGAAGCCAACCCAGGGCTGGTGGGGAGATGGGTCCCAAGGAAGCCGGACCCAGCCGGAGTGAAGGACGCAGAACGGGACGTCCCCAGGAAGCCGAGAAGGAGGGAGAGGAGAAACCGCAGCAGCCGGCGCCCGCGGCCCCCACTCCCATCCCGACCCTGGCCACCCCGCGGCGTCAGGGCCCCGATCCTGAAGCAGTGGAGACAGAGACAGGGCTCTGAGCAGAGAAGGGATGGTGACTCCCGAGGGTGGACTGAGCCAAGACGCATCAGATGGCCAGCTCAGAAACAGAGTTGTTTGTTTTGGTTTTTGGAGACAAGGTTTCCCTTCGTAGCCCAGGCTGGCCTTGGACTTGCAGTGACCCTCCTGCTTCAGCCTCCCGAGTGCCGGGATGACAGCTGTGCACCACCACGAGAAGCAACAGTGATTGTCCATCTAAAGCGAAATTCCAGCGAGTGGATTTGCTAAGAGGTGTCAGAGGTGAGAAGAAAGAATGGGAAGAGAACGACTGGACTCCGAGGTTCTTGACCCGCTCGATGGCACGCAGGCCTCCTGGGGCGGCTCTGGGGACAGACCCACTCTTTCCATCTGTCCCCTTGCTCCGTCCCCTTCCCCCACGCTAAGGCGCCCAGCAGGAAGCCTGGGGTGCAGAAGCTCCTTCCCCACCCCCCCAGGACCACGGTTAAAATCCTCACCACACCCCTGGGTGGCTTCTCTGCCCCCTCCTTCCCAGCCGCTGCCTTTCTGGAACCATCTGTGCCCACCTTGGAGGCCTGAGTGCCAGGGTCTGAGGCCAAGGAGGGGCTGTTTCCCTGTCCTTGGCTACCACGCACTCCCGGGCGGCAGGAGCTTCGAGCCTCGTCTGGGACTATTGTAGGCCTCCCGCTAGGTCCTGCGGAGCTGTGGAAACAGCCCGGTCAGCAGCTCTCGAGGTCCATCAGCTCCCAGGAGCCCTCTGAGGAGCCTCTACTGTGCCCCAGGTCGGCAGTGACTCTTGAGGGTCACAGCGTCCTGCCCTGTGCTAGGACCCGGCCTTGGGGTGTGACGAACAGCGGAACTGCGTGATAAAGTCACTCCAGCTAAGAAATAGTCTTTGACATCTCAATTAACACCACGGCCAGGGAACCGCGGAAAATAACGAGGAGGCAGGGATTTGGACAATGAAGATGACCTCGCTCTGCATCAAGGTGGACACACATATTCTGCCTAGATATTTAAAGCCAAATATATCTGCCCGCCCTCCTCCATCCGTCCACCCTCCTCCATCCTCCATCCATCCTTCACCCATCTGCCACCCATTCATCCATCCATTCAGCCT